GGGGCTCGTTCAGCAACGTTCGACATTGGTTGCTGCTCGGAAGATGTTCATGGCTGATGAAGGGTGCATCCCCTTCACTGCAACCAGAGCAGTGGCCAGGTATAGTCCAGAAAACGTCACGGCTGAAATAGGCCGAAAGATAGCGCTGCTCTTGTCCCGACATCATCTAGTTTGCTCTGCGGTCACTGTCAACTGCATGTGCGAGTTGTTTGACTGGACGTTGCGATAAATAATGGGTGCACCGTACTTCTCTTCTGAATAATAGCTGTCTTCACCAAGTGTGACTAACATATTGCAAGTCAAGTGAACGAGAATTTATCGGAAACTGTGTTGTTGTCGGCGCTGTATTACTTTGCATTCTGCATCACGTTCTGTATGTTCAAAGGGAAACAAAAATACCAGACGCTATTGCCCGGCAAGATTTATTGCTTGTGCTCCCAGGAACTTGAAAAACACTTTTCAAACTGGGTCACCAGGTATTTACATAATATTTAAGTTAACAGAGCAGTGTTGAGTCACAGTGCTGCGGCGAGACGACGTAAGAGCCAGCCTAGCCGTCCCATTAACCGCGTGGTTACCGGAAGGAGTGAAAAGTGTATCACGTGGCATCACTAGTGGTTATCAAACTTCAGTTCGTTGCCGCGGGTAAGGTTTGGACCTTTCTGTCGGCAAGCCACGCGGTCTTGAAAAAAACCGTTCGATCCACAACAAGATGCAGACTGACCAGACAATAAACTTACGCAGCCAGATACAAAGACTGAAATTTTCCATACAATAAAATTCCGATAAACAAGGTTTCGCGCGAAATTCGTCTCGATGCTATCGTCGATAATTACCAAAGTTACTTGCTTTCAAAATGGGAACCGTTTGTGACGCCTGCTATAACGTCGAAAGAGCTTGGATATAAAGACAACGTTTTCAGCTGATACTAAGACTGGAGCCACGCAAACACTTTTCTCGATTGCGGGGTATGAGCTGACCCTCGACAACCGCGCAACATTCAGGAGGCTCTAGCGGGGCCATTGAGACTGAGCGAGACTGTCCCGACGCAGCGTCCATGTTCTTCTGAACCAGCGCAATGGCCAGGCCAGCGCTACAGCAGGCAGTGTTTACGACATCTGCGTTGTCCTCAAATGACAGAGTGGCGGGGAGCGACTTAAACACCAGTGCGGTACCCCTACTGGGCCTGCTTCGAGCCCAGTGCCGGAATAATGGTGGTCCCCACTTGAGCGCCGGACAGCACACACCCCCATCGACCTCTCCCAGGCGGGTCGCGGCGCTGAAGCCCGATTTGGACACCCCGCCCGCGCCAGGAAAGGAAGCGCGTGCAAATGCGTAGCCAGCCGCGTCGCCGCTGACGCGCATCCGGTGTAATCCGGTGTAGTCCGGCGTGATCCAGAACGGTGGCCGCCGGCGTCGACTTCCGGCGCCCCCGGCGCTCGCAGCCTGCTGCCGTGTGTGGACGGCGGGAGCCAAGAGGCCGGGAGACAGGGCATTTTTGCCGCGTGATACAGCGCCGCTGCCGACCATTGTGCCATTGAACCGAGCAGACCACTTTGGCCTGGAAAGGAATTCTTCAAGCGGAATGTCTGCCGTCAGTCTTCCTTTCGCATCATAATGTGTGGGACATCCTGTTCGAATTGAATTAGTGCACGTTTAGCCTTGGTGGGGATGCTGGGGATTTGCATGAAATTATCGCCCAATTTCTTTCGAGCCTTCTTCAAGCCGGCGACCCAAACATGTTAAGGACCATGATGCATGGTACCGCTTATAAACGTAATGCTATTTACTTCCGTTCCGTCCTGGTCATGCCCTCGCAAGAGGGTCAGACTACTCAGCATTGGATCCCAACAGCCAGCGAAGAACTCAAAGCAGAGCAAGGCAAAGCAAAACAATGCGATGGTGAGTTCAGCGCATCGTTTATGCTCATGGAACTTCGCGTTTGTTGTCGCTGGTTGTATAGATATGCCCATCCCACAATAATTCGACTCTGCCCTATTTAAATCGCGGGAAGGCAGTAATCGTATATTGCTTTTGCGTGCTTAAGTATACCGCTTCCGTTATTATGCATGTTAAGTTTAACCAACAGCACATCAGCTGTTTTGCTAAGCGATTGATCAACGTTCAAAATCAACCATACACCGGGAGTCTAATACAAAGACATTAAACCAAAATGCATGTCGCCCACGGTTCGACTGCGGTGTAACTTTTGAGCTCATCTTTGCCCAAAGCGTGGTAAGTGGATGGAGTGGAATAACTGGGATTGGGAACATTCTGAGCCTTAGGGCTTAAAAAGGATGTGAATCTATGTTGATGTCGCGACCAGCACGCTTCGTCACCCCTTCATGTCAAGCGAAACAGAGTGCGCGCGTTTAGGGGCGATCGGGATGTGCGTTAGTAGAAAACCTGTTCCCAACGGGTTACGCCTGGGCTCTTTGGGCTTGTAGCACAGCTGACTAGATAGTTATGAACGAATCACTCATAGCTCGCTCCCCACACCACGTGCCCGATCGAGTGTCACCATATGATTAGTGAAAAGGAATCTGTGTCTCATGGATGTGTATATGAAAGATAACACGCTGCAACATCATCCACAGGTGTTTGTCATGCGCTGTGTGCAAGTCGGAGTCGTGCCTTGAATGCCACTCTTTTCTCCAACGCGTAACATTTATCGTCCGAGACTGCGGACGTCGGCCAGGGATCTGTAAAATAAGGAAATCCACCGACATAAAATTCCAACTTTCTAACTGCCGGAAAAATTTCGCTCATTCATCTACCCTTGGCTTGTTTTGCTCGATTAAGTTTTCCACTGAAGAAGATAGCCTCCATCCCCTTTGCAGCGATCTTGCTCCATCATGAAGATACTTAAAAACCATAAAAACAGGATGCCGGACACACGACGTAATGAAAATGTTCAACTTTTATCGTCAAAAAAGTGGGTTTCATGGAGTTTGCCTGTTGCATGTATGGTCGAGTTCGTTCGACTTCAGATCTATTATCAATAAGTTATGTTTTAAACACATATGCGTAAGATTGGGGGAGGGGCATCGCTGATAAATAACAATGGCAGGCAGCTATGTCCCGCTCTAGGATGCTCGTTCTGAAGACTCGCTGATATAATTAAGAGAGAGAGAGAGAGAGAGAGAGAGAGAGAGAGAGAGAGAGAGAGAGAGAGAGAGAGAGAGAAGAGAGAGAGAGAAGACGAGAGAACGAGAGAGAGAGAGATAGAGAGAGAAGAGAGAGAGAGAGAGAGAGGGAGAGAGAGAGAAAGAGAGAGGGAGAGAGAGAGAGAGAGAAGAGAGAGAGAGAGAGAGAAGAGAGGGAAGAGAGAGAGAAGCGGATAGAGGAGAGAGAGAGAGAGATAGAGAGAGAGAGAGAACACTCTATTTGGAGAATCACCATACAGGGCGAGTAACGCACGATTTTAGGACGGCCTGTGCAACGAGTATATTGCCACAAACCAGTTATTAATGCTATTGTTCTAGTAATGTCAATTGTGGTTGTTGACTGTTTAGACATCACCATCCTCAATCCATTCAAATTTGTGCTACTTAAACCACGGGAAGATATTAATAGCAGCATATTACTGCGGGCTTACGTATACCACTTCCCTAAAAATGTGTGCAATATATTTACATTTTTTGCTTGCATCAACCTCTTGCAGAAACATTTCCTTTATATTCACTCAGATTTGCTCCCACAAGTTTAATACTTGCACAAGATGAGATAATTAAGCTTTTCACCCCAGGTGTGATTTTTATTTCCAGTGTTCTCGTTGGCTATGCAGGTAGCCACACACGATAATGGGTCATCTGAAAGTCAGCCACTGTCATGCCAGATGACAACCAATGTCCTCAGAAACTAGTTGACTCCTGCGACGACAAAATTTAAAAGGAATGGAGGTTATTTCGAAGGGAAATTGCAACATAAAGGACGAGTCATTCTCGTTCCTTTCCGCTTTTTTACAGCACAATGGAGAGCAGCCCTTGCGATCCTCTCTTTGCCCAGCACCTCTTCCGCCGGCTCCGTTTCTTCGTCGCGCCAGCACGGCTACAGATACAGTGTCCACCATTTACTCTTTGCTAGCATCGCTTAGTGGTCACCTATTCTACTGACTTGCGATTTAATGTTCAAAGGAGTGTGAAGTTCTGCTATACAGGATTTGTTGGCAGTGCCAGGGGATCCTTGGCTGTCGAGAATTTCATTCATCTGCTGAGTCTGCTGGGGGCTTGCTTGAGAGGAATGATGAAGAGGCCTAGTCCAAAGTCCGAATGTCGGGGTTCTTTGCCTGTCTGTTATTCAAGGTCGAGGAAGTGGTCACTTATTTGGGGAGATGTGGGCTGAGCATGCCTATTGGGTAGCCTGTGCCCCTTCCCCACCCCCACCCCCAACCCCCCACACTATCCAATGAGAAATAACTCCTGTCTCCCCCTCATATAGTCACATTATCAGGAACTATCAGGGCATCTGCAGTGCATGATATCACATCGCAAATCGTCGGTGTGCGCAGCAACGTTGCTACTACTGGTGTTGGCCCTGTTTGACTGATCGTGTTACGGAGAGGTCGTCTATGGGCTTTTTAACCAGCATGCTCTTCTCTTCATTCAATACCCACGGTTGGATGTGTCGACTCAACGCCGTGAAATCCCTACCAACGCCTAAAATGTTATTATTATACACAGATAATCACAGTGGGCGACAAACACACACCCCATGTGCCATCACTTGCAGTCCAGCAAGTACTTGCAGTGAACAGCAAGGGCATATGTACGCATCAGGCATCCAACCACCCCGATGGCATCGGTCGCTGTCAGAGCGCCTGACGCGCTGCAGTGCGTCTGAATATTGCGCCCACAAGCCCCGTCTCAGAACAACCGCGCGGAGGGAAAAAAGGCGGCCGAGTACGACCCTTACGCCTGACGGCCGGCCGAGCACGACCCTTACGCCTGACGGCCGGCCGAGTACGACCCTTACGCCTGACGGCCGGCCGAGCACGACCCCTACGCCTGACGGCTGCTCTGACGCGCCGCGCCCACCCGTCTCGGATCAGCGGTGGTCGGCTCGACGCAGTCCCTTGTGCCCCTAGCCAAGCAGTCGATGGAGTCCAGCAGCCAGCGCAGGTGTGCACGCACGGGCAGGTAGACGACGGACGCGCCGCGCATCCGGGCGCACGCCGCCCGGCTCGGCACGAGCGAGGCCACGCCCAGCAGGTAGAAGTGCTCGCCGACAAAGTCCACCGACACCAGCGGTGCGCCGATGTCGGCGACGCACGCGGCGCCGGCCCCGATGCAGGTGTCGTCGGCGCCGTCGCGCTCCGCCAGCAGCCGGTACTGACACGGCTCGGTGCCGTTGTAGACGGTGCCGTCATCGACCAGACGCAGATCGTCCATCATGTTCGAGGTCGCATTACGGTCGCGGGAGCACTCGCAGCAGGCGGCGCGACTGTCGAAAGTCACCTGCTCGGCCATGGCGAGGCTCGATGACACTGCATACTGCTTCACGGGCGGCCCGCGCTGTGGGAAGATCGGCAAGCAGACGGGCATCACGCCGAAATCAATAATCAACGGCTCCGCCAGCTTCACGACCGCGATGTCGTAGAGGTGGGCTTCGCTGTCCTGGAACTCGCGCTCCGTAAACCTCGGGTGCACGAGCACATCACTTATGTCCACCACCCGCGGCGGGTCCAGGCACTGCTCTGGTGCGTACCAGAGGCAGTCGTTTTTGGTCGACAGGCTGTAGTCGCCGGCGCGCACGACCTCGAGCGGAAAGTGGGATGTGCCAAGCGCACACCGCGCCGATGTCACCACGAACTGGTCCGAGATCAGCGCGCCTGAGCAGGCGAACACGCGACCGCCCATCGGGTTTCGGAAGCCGAGCGTCACTAGCCACGGGTGATCGCCCACCACTGGGAAGCCGCAGTTCAGGGGGCCGCGGCTGACCTGCTGCTCGGAGCCGGTGCCGCAGAACTCCAAATCGAGCACCTCCAGCCCCGGGTGGTTGACCAGTTCCGGCAGCACCGTGGTCGTCACCCGACACAGCGCCGGTGACGGCGACAGCGCCAGCGCCAGGCATAGTGCCAGCACCTGGATACACCGCGAGGCACACATAGCGCGGCTGGCTCGCGTAATGGCCGACGCTTCTGACGCGCCGGCAGTGAGCTGGAAGAAGTTTGCCCAGCTGACGGTAGGTGGCGGGAAATCCCGCTGGGTGACGTCAAAACTCTCTGACCGCTGATTGGTTTAACCAGAAAAGAACAGTGGAGATTGGTGGAGACATGCGGCGAGGAAGAACGGGCTGGAGACGGTAAGTTCGCAAATTAGTTTGCGGGGGCTGGTTGCACAGCGAAAAATGACTCCGCCTACCCGAAACCTACGCCAGCAGGCAGGTTTCTCCCCGGGGCGAAGCGGTGTGCTTCCCTTAGCAACGTAGGCCGGTGAGTCCTCGTATAGCTTTCCCACTCGTTGAAGTCAGATCATTAACTCTCGGATATTTTTGGCTTAGGCCGTTCTAGGGTAACTCGTTGTGCCAGTTATGTACTACTGAACAGGTTTGTATTGTTTGTACCGGTTGGAGGCCGCCCACACAGGAAGTTAACCATTTTTGTCATTTTCGGCCCTTCCCACCTGGTTACGTCATGGTTGGTTACGCTCGGTAATACTCCCACTTTGGTCACGCTGTTTAAATTGAGGACAAAAGATCAACGGATCTGCAACCACACTCAAGTGCTGTGGCATCGAAGCTCCGCTTCCAACCTCTGACTAAGTGCTATTTTCGGTTATTTTTTGCAGCCTGTGCTCACAACATCGATTTTAAAGTTTCAGAGAGTAAGTGGCTCCAGCTCCCGCACCAGTGGTTAACGCGCTCCCGTTTGAACCTTATGTTGCGCTGTCTCTTCTTGCTACACTTCGGTCGCGTACCATCACAAGCCCCATTCCCCTCCATTCGAAACATAGTTTATCGACGGTCCCTTCTACTTTTCGATGGTCGTTGAAATCAAATGGTTGTGACTCGCAGTGTTTTTTTTTTACTCAAGTGGTTGCAGCTCAGTTGGTTTCGCGATGGCGAGATGGTTGTATTTCAGTCTCAAGCCGCTCATCAAACCCATTGGAGAAGCAAACATCACTGCTTTGAAAACCTACTTGTTCTGTCTTGCTTTTCTGTTTGTTGCTTATCAGTTGTGGGGTGTAAGCGAAATATTGAGGTGGTCTAGAAAAAACAACGAGAAGAACAGAACCGCGCAAAAAAGCTACAAAGTCTTGTCCATGGTTTCAGTGTTCGCACTTTGCAGAGGGACAATAAATGTCAATTTTTGATGATTTGCAGTCTCGAGTTACAGATTACGAGTCTCTCCGCTATCACCAACGTTCGGTTAGCTGCATGGGTGTGGGACGTGAGAACCGATCAGTGCCCTAAAATCACCAAATCATGTCACAAGCGAGCCTCATAGGATTGCCAAATACGGAACAAGCTGCGTCTTGTTTTCAATTTTTGGGGTCGTTAGTCATTGCATGTTTTGTATTATGCCTTTCACAGTGAGCAACGCTTTGATAAAGTTAAATCTTGCCCTGCAATCTCCTCTGCTCCCTCCCCCCCCCCCCCTTAGTGTATCACCGCTTTGAATTTGCGTTGTTTTTTTAGCTCAGTTCGTCTTTGCCGTTTCCGGATTCGGCAAGACTTCGTGTACAATACCACTGACGCTTTCGACTCATTTGCGTGTCCGGATGTCCGAGTTGCATGATGTGATCCGGATGTCCGAGTCGCAGGGACATGCAGGGTGCATGCAGCGTGCCACTGAGTATAACGATGTGAACGGAGCCAGCTGTTGCCAGGCACGGAAGTCCCTTCCGCTCCTCAGACGTTGTTTAACAGACACAGCAGAGTCACGCGAACCGTAGAACAGGGATTGAGGGGAGGGGGCGTCTAGCGAGAGCGGGGGGGGGGGGCGCCCGATCGCAGCGTGGCCGAATCTGCTCAGTCCGTGCTCTGCTGCGGAATCCCAGTAAAAGGAGTGGAGCTCTTGGGGAGGGGAAGGGGTGCCCATAAGCCGGGCAACGTTCAGCCCTTGCATCGCTGTGGGGATCCCAGTTATAGGAGTGGAGCCCTTGGGGAGGGGAGGGGACCCCATGAACCGGGGAACAGCAGAGCTGAGACGCCGATACGGGTGTTCGCAGCTGCATCCGCAGATTCAGTACGTCGGGGATGGTGTGCAGTTTAACTTGACGTTTTTCCAACCTTAATTTCTAGAGCCTCCTTCACGGCACTTTCAGCAGATAGCCGCGAGCATCGCAGCGGTTGGTCCAGACAAGACCAGTGCTCTGTGAAACAGAGCACTAGCCGCATCTACCGGACCCAGGCCGTAAATATATTGATGCTTGGGCTGCAGGTGGTTGTGAAAAACGGCACTCAAAACGGAGGGAGAGCAGCGGCAGCTTGATTTAGAATGTCCCTGAGATGCAGCTAGTTGAAACCGAAGCCTACACAAAGCGTTCCTGAGCGGTCGCTTGCTCTCTTCGGAGGTGCCTGGGTCCTTGGTAACTGAAAGCCAAGTGTTCTTGACAGCGCGAGGCCCTCAGGGGGGGGGGGGGGGGGTCTCGCTTGGCCTCCCTCAAAGACCAGCGCCCCTCTACCTGGATGTCACCTACACCTGGGCGATACACTTGGCACCACTGGACGTAAGCCAAGGACAGACTTTTAGATTCCTTTGATTGCGCCTGGTCCACTCAAAGAGCACGCACGTCTCGTCGAGGTGGCCAGGGCGCATACCCCGCTCTGAAGCGCGCCGTTGTGCTGTCGTGACTGCGGTCGCGGCCGGGTGCAGTGCTGCCCCGCGTCAGGCTGGTAGGCGTCGGCGCCCGCTCGGTGCCGGGTGACTCGGGCCTCGGCCTCACAAGCCAACCGGTATAAGCCGGAAGGGCGCGTCGTCGACCCCGACCGTACGCAGGCCTCTGCCCGACGCTGGAGCAGAGCTCACGGGGAGGAGGGGGGGGGGGGGGTTCGCGACCCGCGACCGCCGGCGCCAGTGGTGAGCGCAGGCGCCGCGTCGTTCGCGCGTGCGTCGCGCCGGGACTGCGCTTGAGCGGGATGCAGCTGGCGTGGGCGTTCATGTACCCCTCCCTACGCGCCACAAACGTCAAACATTGGGCCACCCAGCCGCCGACTCATCGTGTTTCTGCCGGGGCCGCGGACGGCAGGAGGCGCGGCTCGGACAGCCCGCTGGAACCGGCCGGTCCGTGCCCGGGCCGCTTACGTCACACGAAAGCCGCCAGAGTTCCTGGCACGTCGTGAGTTTACGTGTCGCCTTCGCTTTCGGTGGGGTGGTCCAGTGAACCGCTGCATGGACTGGACATCCCGTTACGTCAGGTTCAGCACGAAAGGGAGGCGTGCACTTCCGCCTGGTGGTCTGAGGCGAGCAGCTTTCAGAGAGCAGCGTATGGCAGGATTCCGGTTAAACAGTGCTGGAACGTTCGAGGATGGGGCTGCCAAATTTTGAGATTCTCAAACCCGTTCTACCGCGCAATCCGATTTGAAAACCCACCACGTCTCACAAGGGGGACTTTTGAGGGGATTTTCCCACTTTTTGGGCTGGAAAGCCCGCTCTAGTCGGAAAGAGGGGGCATGTTACGATGACGCATACTCACGCACAATCTCGCGTCCACCTTCGATAGCGAAAGACAAAATGGAACGCCCATTAGCAAACGTGCGCAATATTCTTCCACACCTTAAATGTACTGCATAAGACAAAACAACTGCTCGATTAGACAGAGGGTTACAGTCCAAAAAGAAGGATAAGAATTTCGTGTACACTCCCGAAACATGCGGTAAGCACATACTCAGCCAAGTAATCAGCCAGTTCCGTGTTGGAAAGCCACTGGTCTGTGATTGTTATCTGCACCCTCTGAGAATCACCGTCTGCCGTTGGTCTTCGCAGCACTTTGTGACTGTTCTTGATACCTCTGGTCAATTCAATTGCCACTACGTGCCCAATGTTTTTGATTAAAGTTATCGGTACCGTTGAGAACAAACTTCATGTACGTTCATAAGCATGATGATTACTTGAGTTTTTTCTTTGAGTTGAGCTCTCGCCGAGCTGCGGTAATGCAGAAGTATTAGCTAATGCAGTTTTGCGTTGTACAATTATATATATATATATATATATATATATATGCTATGAAATTTGCCGGTTGGTGTGCGGCTTTGCAATAACCTTAGGATGCTTTGGCGGCGTCAGAAATAAGGTTTTATGAGTCTGAGCGATCTAAGCCCGCCAATGACCCCAGCTTTTGCAACAACGTTTATAAATCTTGCAGGTCCCTTTGACCCGCGCTCTGCCGGTCTGTGGTCCCAAAACAACCAGCTCCAATTCAGGATTCCGCGCCCAACGGCGCCACAGCCATACGGCGTTTGCGTCGTATAAGCCGCGCCTATCACGTCCTATGAACGTGTTGTGTTTCTGGGTGAGAGAGAACAGAAGTTCTATATGCCCTGCATTACGATTATGTACCGCACACTTGGTGCAGTGCGCTCGTGTGTCGGTCGACATATTTCCGACCCTCGTTGATGCTGCCAACAGCTACTTCCCTAACGTCAACGGGCGCGAGTCTAGCCGTCTGGAGGCTTTGGATCGGCGAGGTTTAAGTAGTGCTTGTCCTGGCAAGCCGTGTGACCTCTTCTCAGCATGGCACGCGCTATTCTTGAAGTTTGACGACCTCGCATGCACCAGTCGAGCGGATTAAAGTTCGCGACCCTGCAGCGCCATCTGCCCCCGGGGACATGGGAAGCCCCGTGGAAACCCAGACGCGGGAGCCAGCGACCGGTAACCCCTCGGCGTGGCGACCAAGATACCCGGCCTTGAACAGACAGGCTCCGTCTGCAGTGGTCGCGTTATGCCGCTAGGCATAAAACTTGAAGCTGAGTCGAGGAGGCTCACAGTTCCATGCCGTTCAGTATGAGGCCAGTTTGCGGTCATGTAGTGAGCTTCATCTTCCACTACTGCTCCGGGTGGCGCCCTACCTAGACTGCTTCTGTTCTTTGAGGGATATGTTCTTTTACCGACGTTATCAATACAAGTCTCATGACCCCTCCCCCGCACGCACATGATTTGCCCGAA